TTTAAAAGGAGGAATGTGTAAGGTATTTCTCCCGCCTTCTTAGCATGCCTTCGTGGTGCAGTGGTCAGCACACTCGGCGGGTATCCAAGAGGTCCGTGGTTCGAGTCCCGGCGAGGACATCGCACATTGTTCATGCCTGCCGCTTCGAAATAACCTAATGTCTCTTCAAGTTTTGCATATTTAATATATCGACAGCTAATAAGCAAAAACACTTCTCACATACATCTCGCCCTAGAAAATTATTTAGCGCGTGCTCTGTACCGAAAGAATTCCGTAGGTTAATACAAGCTATGGTTTCGTTATAAACATTTTAAAATAAATTTCTGCAACAATTTATTTTTTTAAAGTACAAAATATATAGTAACTCTTTATTTACACTGAGAGACCTATGTAGACAGAAGCGTTGATGTAAACTGAATATAATTTTCTCTTGAAACCATTTGGCTTTCCTAAACTTATCTTAATTTCTTACAATGGCTGGTTCGAATTCTTTAATTGCAATGAATTTTTTAAATTCTTAATTTCAATTTTATCCACCTTTAATATAGATCTACAAATTTATTCCAACGTGCAAAATAAACTTCTTATTTTTATTTTAAGAAATATTCCTGACTTTGAAACTTTTCCTTAGCAACTTATTACATAATAATTCTGTGCTCCTGGTGCTTTCGTTCAGGTCCACAACTTGCCGGTGGTAACTCCAGAAACTTGTGCAGGTATGGTTCATGGGAAACGAGTCTGCTGAATATAGTTTCAAGACTTTGAATACCATACAATTTCCTTAGAATATCCTCCACGAAGCATCGCTTCTATAACAGATAGCCTTGCATACTTTAATAAATAGATTAATTAATGAACCAGAGTTTTAAAACTATGTGCATTTCATAATTAAATGAATTCTTATAGCAAGTCTTATTTGAACTTACTTTTACCATATAAACTGTGATGTTCAACTTTACCTCAGTTTAGCTTCAAAGCATTAAGTCTTATGCATATGAAAAGTATTGGAGACTAATTTTTATTCAATGAAATAACAAGTTTGCCACTTGATCTAATTGGCTTTTATGTTTTTGTCAGGTTTTCTTAACCTTTCAATTAACAGTGGTATCGCATTCATTTACTTCTCCTGCTTCTAAATTACAACTTTCGGTTACGGTATTTTATAAAATTTCTTAAGCGGGAAGAATATTTTTTTTATAAATAGGCTTTTACATCCGTGCATTAGAATCACCGGAACGAAACTAAACATTTAAAATACGTTATTATATATATATATATAATATATATATTGGTTATATTTTGAAATATCTAAAGTTTGCCACGAAAAAATTCACAATTTTCAACTTTCTTTCTTAAACCTTTTATAATAAACAATACATTTCATTGTTTCATTATAAATAATAGAAAAACTCGAAAGAGAGAAGTCGTGTCCTACCTCATACACGTTTACATCCAGCCTAGAGGAAAAGTGAAGACGGATCTGCTGATTCATTTAACAGACCGACAATATTTGTAAGCGCTACAGGAATAACTTTTAACGAAGCAGTGCAACTATGCAGATGCATCAAAACAAAACCTCGAATCATGCATCTCGTTCATATTTTACACAAAAAATGAAGCAACCGCTAGTTTTCCATTGCTAATTTAATACAGGCCTTTATTTTGCAACGAACTTCATTTGCGACGTTATCCATACTCAGTGAACTTAGGAAAGCTTGTTATGACGCTACAAGCAGAAATAGTTTTAGTTCGAATTAACGAAAATACATTAGTTAATTTTAATGTTGGAAAACAGTAAAATTATAATACTGTGTTATGCAGTACTCAGCATATTTTAGGATAAATGAATGCTTTTAATTCTTAATGGATTCTCAATTGTTTATAACAGAGGATTCTTTTGACACCTCTTGATATGCTCCTTAGCTGAAATCTGATAATTGTAATTTCTTCTTTTATATGAACTTCTAAATTTCCGTAGCTTTTCATTTTCCGTACTGGAGCTACGGAGGATAAAAATTTGAAATTGTTCACCTGAGGCAATTGTCTCCCTTGATTCAACTCTGTCGAGGCTCTGGCTACTCCTGCCTCGCGTAACTTTTGGTTTAGAATACAGAGAAGAAATTCTGGAAAAAGTTTGCAAAATACAAAAAAGATTCAGTCAGTGATGTTTACGAACTTCGTTACAGCCAAATCTTATACATTTGGAACTTCGCAAATATCGTATAAAAAATTAATTTTATAAGAAATTGGATGGGCGAAAAAATTCGTTCGTTATATCCAGAGATTCATTATAAACCGTGCTTGCTATAGTGGGTCGGTTTCTAGAATCTTCTTCAGCTGTAGAAGTGAAAATGAAGAATGGGAAACTTGTATTCACAGGAATTATAGACAAAAAATTCAAGAAGTTTCCAGCTAAGAAAGAGCAAACACTGTCGCCATCTATTGACAAAAACATGAAAGCAACTATGAAATAATTTCAGTGAAAACTGAAGGCAAAGCAGATTAGAATTGGTATCAATAAGAAAATTTCTAGACTTTTATAAATATGAAACGCTTCTAGGAGTTCCATATCACTAAACAAAATACTTTTTTGAATAATTTTGTTTGCTCAGAGATGGCAAATGTGATTTTATTGACCAATAGTTCTGAGCACTGGGGGATTTATATCTTTTCCACATATGTCTCTTATTGCTTAGGGCGAAATTTCAAGATTTTGCTAGTTTGATCAAAGTACTTTAAGCCACATTGGCAAGGAATACTGGCTCTAAATATTAGACTGAATTTTCTTGATAGATTTTTGTAAAATACGTGCAGTTTTATAACTAATCCGTGGAAAAAAGTACTGAATTCTTAAAATGGTCCAAACCAAATTTTTCTCTTGTGTTGAGATGAAATATTTTTCACCGCTTCATTGATAAAACGAAAAACTTTTGTGGGTCGCAAATGCTCTTTCTGATCCATAGTACTGCGACGTCTCGATGACATTGCAGACAATATACAATGTGACCACTGCAACAACAAATACATCGCTATGACATTTTTTTTCCCTCCTTTGAGAACATACAGACTCCCCGTGCACCACATACGTACAACACGGGGCTTACAAAAATAAGTTAACTAAAACATTAAAAGTTACAGGCATAAATAAAGCGAACAAGCAAAAAACAGCAGTCTGGACTTAACGAAATCAGATAAGTTCACTGGCCAAGTCACTCCGAACATTTTCAAATCGTTCTGTAAGCATAATCTAGGGCCATCAAATGTAGGGCATGAGGAAATCAAATGTTCCACATACTGAGGAACTCTTTTTGAACATTCACATAAGTTGTTTGATCTTAGATTAAAACGAAACAGGTAACTTGCAAATTTACCGTGACCAGATAAAAACTGAGACACTTTAAAATTTAACGAGAGGAAAGACTCGGAATTCAGTCTATGGTAAATAGAAGGAAAGAACTTTTTGGTGACTTCAGCATTACAAGATGAAATGTATTCCTCATTCCACATAGCTAAAAGTTTTTAATAATGAAAGGACTTCCAATAACTCTTTGGAATGCTAATGTTGATATCAATGGGTAAATTTAAGGCATCTTTAGCTAAGAAATCAGCTCTTTCATTTCCGTAGAAACCATGATGAGCACGCACATAAGCAAAGCAGATATCAATACCTCTAATTCTAAGTGAACTAACAGTTACTGGGGTTTCGATAACTAATTTATCGCAGCTGGTAATACTGTTCAAAAGTTGAAGAGAAGAAAGAGAATCAGAACAAATAAGGTACTTCGAGGATGTTGTCCCATTATTCTGGATCCATTTGACGGCAAGATAAATGCACAGAAGTTCTTCCTGAAAAACTGTGCATTCATTCCGTATACGGTGTCTAAAAAAAGAAACTTCTGAATGGCCTTCAAAAAGAACAAATGCAAGGCCAACCTTGTTGTTCATCTTGCTGCCATCTGTAAAGAAAACCATATGAAAACTTATTTCAGCAGTCTCTTTATAATCGTAGAAATTTATGGGTTCTAAAGAAGCGGGATGAGGAAGATCAGTGAAGGGGACAATTCCATTAATACCATCTTCCAAAGCATCAGTTGCCAATGACTCGAAAATATTATTCTTATATGCAATTTCAAAATCAATAGGCGGAACTCCTGCAAGAACAAAAGTAGCCTCATAGCTTAAGGTTTTATAACCACTAATAATACGAAGAATTCTCCGTTGAATCTTTCTTAAATTTCTTTTGTTAACCTTCTTGGCAAGAACATGTCCCCAAGCACGACAGCCGTACGAAATGAAAGGTACAATACACTGCTTATACATGAGTTACAATGTGACCACTGCAACAAAAAATACACGTCAAATCATGTCTCATAGCTCTTTATAGTAAAGCTGTATGCAGTGAAGCTGTATGTAGTTGGAAATTATACTTAATGATGTAGTTAAAGACTGAATAAATACATAAATTGTAGTAATAGTTCATAAAATTTTAATAAATATGTGTGAATAATCTTATTAAGTATTGTAGTTCTTTAAATAATAGTAGAACTTAAGTAAATCTTCTTGGACGGGAACATATTATTTTCTTCTCGAAACTTTGCACATTTTTCCTTCAACCATCTTTCGATATGCTTTAAACAATTAAATTTTGTCATGTTTTGAGATTTTATTCTAAAGATTAACAGATTGAAACAGATATAAAATTTGGAATATCTTAAGAAAATTGTACGCCACTATTTAATTAAAAGTTCGCTTTTTATGAGACGAAAATATAATCATCGTATTTCAGTTCACGCAGAAATGGCAATGAATATCCCTCCATCTGCCTAGTCTGGGTCGAGAGCTATAGTTTGCCTATGCTCCGTCTAGTAAACGAATATAAAACAGAATCGAAGAATATACATCTTGATAATTTATATCTAATAAAATGTACTAGAGAACCGACAGCAATTCTGTATTTCTTGGAACTCAAAATTTCATTCAAGAAACTGAGAAGATTGAAATATGATGAATATATTGATTTTTTATTTCTTCCAAAAGAAAGATAATAGAATATATTATGCATAGCATGCGACATTTTTAAAGACTTTCTTTTTAAAACAAAATAATAATAGCAATAAGCAGCAAGCATAAGCAATCAAAACCGCTAAATAATTTTGTACTTCATTAGTTCTGAAAGCCTGAATTTCTTTTTGCTCTAGCTTCTGTTCCTTGGTGTATATATCTCTTTCGATACATCTTTGCATCCAGTACTTCCAGCTGCATCTGTAAAAGTGGTTTTATGTAAGACATTCAAGTGTAACAATTAATAATACAATTCATAAAGACATTCAAATGAAATAATTTATATTACATTCAAGAATTATTACATGGAAGAAGGGTTATCTTCAGAACTAAATATGAGGAAGAAATTTTCTCTAAAAATCTATTGTCTTTCAATATAAGTGACTGAGATATTTTGTTTTGAGATTTCAAAATGCTTTAAGTATTTAGTTGGATAGATAGAAACCAAATATTCAATGTAAATTTACACACAAATTTTATAATGTCATTTATCTCTTTTCTTCTTTCGTTTTCAAAATCCTTAAATTTAGTAGCGTATTTATCACTGAATGTAAAATGAAATTTATGTTACATAATAACATTACATAAATAAATATTTGGTACAACGTTTAAATTATACCTAACAATTAGTTTTTAGTTTAAATACGCTGGTTTCAGTTAATTACTGTCTGAAGTCTAGTTCGTATATTTTCCACGAATATAAATTAGAAATCGTTTATTTCCAAATAAGTTTTTAAAGTTTTTTTTGGGCAGATGCAAAAATATTATAGTACAGAAAAGAGCAACATTGATTTAATCACATTACGTTATTTTTGTCTCGCTTTCTTCCAGAGTTATATATGCATTAAATAAGCCTCGTTTTCTTTAGATCTTTATTTCCTGAGAATCATTCTTCCCCTTCACTTAAGTTAGTAGATTCTACAAACTTTTCGGCACTTTTCACTTTATCAAAATTTTATGAACTATTACTTAAAAATTGTAGTAGTAGTTCATAAATTTTTAATAAATATGTGTAAATAATCTTATTTAGTATTGTAGTTCTTTAAATAATAGTAGAACTTAAGTAAATCTTCTTAATGAACTTAATTAAATCTTCTTAGACGGGAACATATTATTTTCTTCTCGAAACTTTGCACATTTTTCCTTCAACCATCTTTCGATATGCTTTAAACAATTAAATTTTGTCATGTTTTGAGATTTTATTCTAAAGATTAACAGATTGAAACAGATATAAAATTTGGAATATCTTAAGAAAATTGTACGCCACTATTTAATTAAAAGTTCGCTTTTTATGAGACGAAAATATAATCATCGTATTTCAGTTCACGCAGAAATGGCAATGAATATCCCTCCATCTGCCTAGTCTGGGTCGAGAGCTATAGTTTGCCTATGCTCCGTCTAGTAAACGAATATAAAACAGAATCGAAAAATATACATCTTGATAATTTATATCTAAGTCTGTTTATATTTGTAATGCATAATAAACTAAGATTTCCTTTTCTAAAAAATCATCGAATTACTTAGCACATAAATGTCATTAAATATTAAAAAATTTAAGTTAATAAACCTAGTTAAATGTTAGATGTGTTATCATTAGTGGTTTGATACCTTGTTAGTTCCCTTAGCTGTTTTTTAACTATCACAAAAAATTATGTCACGAAACATATTTTAAAAGAAAAATATTTTATTAACGTGAAACATTAGAATATAAATGTGTTCCTTAGGAAAAATCACTGTTTTCAATTTATATGTGTGACTTAATAAATAAATATAAACTAATCTGCATCTTAAGTATTACAATTTTGCTGAAATATTTGGAATATATATGATTTTGGAAAACGAAATTCATTCCTGCGTATAGAAAATTATGTTTCTTAACTCATTTGCTGAGTCCTTCTAATCGAACTTTCAAATTCCATGCCACGTAGTATATCTTCTAGAAAAATCATAAAATCATAAATCATATTAACATTAGATGAAAGCTTCATCTAATGTTTAGGAAATTCACTTCCTTACGGTAAATAATTATTATTAATTATTCTCTCCAATTAGAAACGTAAAGCTGATAATGTTTCAGATTGCCATAAAAATTCAATATTAGTAATTTCTTGGATCCATGCACTACATTTTATATTTCATAACTGATAAGCACACCTTTGCTGTTAAAATCCTGTTTCGTTGTGAAACAAGAGCGGCTTATGTACACATAAAGTCCATACATAACTGCAGCAACCAGGCAAATAATAGCGATAACTCTAAATGCTGTTCTTCCTCCATAAGCATCCATTATCAGTCCACCAATCAGACTGCCTGTAAATTTTCCTGAAGAAAAATTTTGACTCATTAGTGCTGTACAACAACATTTGCATATAATAAAATTATATATACAAATATATAGAATGGAAGTTTCTCAGACCAATAAACTATCACTGTGGTATAGGTAATATGATAACATTATACTCTCATATAATACGTATGATCATATTTTATTTTCTAATCAGGAGAAATCAAAACAATTTCATCTTCAATAAGAAAGCAGGATACTCAGTCATTGCACTAAATGCATTGTTATTAATATAACCCAGTTGAAATAGTTGCCTTTATTGGAGTTCGAGAACAAAGGCAGAAACTGAGAAGCTTGTTAGCTATCACAATTATACCTGTTTAACAGTTTTGTGCTTAGATAATTTTTTTTGCACTGTCTGTAATTATAAATCCAGGAACACCGACAAGAAATAAAACTTAACTGAAGCGTTTATTAAAAATTACGTCAGATAATATTAAAGTTGAGCAAACAAGCCACGGATATTTGTGAATTGTTTAAGTTCAAGTATTTAAATACCTACAAATCAGAAAATAATTTTCAACCCTCACTAACACGGTTCAAAGCGACGATTACCATACTACTTGGAGTGCTCTTGTCTGACGTCACTGACTCCTAGTCTACTCAAAAAACAATTACTCCCATTGTATCTTCGTTTCTCCCACTTAGGTAAGCGACGTTAGCGTTGCTAAGAGCCTAACCTTGCTTGTCTTCTGACCTTGGTTTCAATTACCGCAGCTTCTAGCGCTGCGTTTTAAAAACTATAAAATTACTCGCCAAAATGGAAATCTAGAGATATCAATGCTTAATAAATTTTTGGCAGGTTGCCACAATTCTCTCATTCCGCTAAAAATTCACTCGCCATTTAAACTCAACCTAATTTACGCGCTGGCGATGAAAAAAATCAGAAAGTATAGAAAACAATTAAGCTCTTAGCATTCTGTCTGGTCTATTTGAACACGTTGATGGTAGAAAGTATTTCAAAATTGGGCATTTACTCAACATTTGTTTGACAGAAGTTTTAATTGGGTAGTCATTTGTAAAATGGGCTGCATTATCAATAGCCAAATAGCAAACTATTTAGTAGTCATTGTCCTGCTTACTCGCTGATGAAAAAGTAAGGAAATAATTACATCTTTTCACTTGATACAACATCAGAAAAATTGCATTAACATATTTGTTTGCGAATATTTTGCCCTAGATTTGAGCGCTAATTTCTGAAATTAAAAAAAATATTCGCGTAATTTTGCCCTCCCTTAATACTTTCAGAGAAAGAAATGTCCTAAATTTTACGCAAAGCTTCAATAAAAGAGAAGGAATAGTAAATAAATGTTTAGAAATATGGTTTCTTGACCGCACGATGACAGACACCTTGCTAGAACTTTCATGTAGGATAGATTTAGTAGTTATATGCATTTTATATTATTGTAAGAATTACTGTTAAAAATGGAAACATGCGTTAGGATTATTTATTATTTAAAAAGTGAATTATTTAAAATAAATTTAACACTTACAGTTTTAGTCAAACTGTAATAATTTGTTTGACTCGGCCTTATTCTTTCTTTTCATTGTTTAAATTATTTTCTTTTTGAGATTTTGTATTCCATTTTTGTTGATTATTTAAACCATACTGTTTCATCTTAAATGAACTTAATCATAGAAGGTAATTAACAGAAGAATGCATTAATGAAGACAAAGATTTAATCATGTAATAGGTCAACAACTAAAAATTATGTCGTTTAAGAAGCGTTATATGTTTTTGGGTTTTTGTATTCTCAGTTTATCAGATCGATGTAGGATAGCTCTTACAACATTTTGTTTTTTAATTTCATTTGATAAGCATTAGTAGTGTGCAAACGTTTATAACATTAATATAAATGGAACAACTGGACACTACTGATACAACTCGTGCTGCCCTCATTTCTATTTATTCGTCATAGAAATTCATTAAAAGTTATGATGGCGATAACATGAGAAATATCATAGTGACTAATATCATAAGGCATAACTGGATACTTCTCAATCTTAGTTCAAGAAGACTTGACTTCTTTGAAATAAACAAAAATCAATTTGAAATAATTAAAATTAACTTCTAAAAAAGGGTTATGATATAAACATAAAAATTTCTTTTTAGTATATAAATCTGCTAAAATTCAGATATCTAGGTTTTTAGACAACTGCAAAATAAAACAAATAATTACTTATTTGTAGCAATTATATTAAGTTGCTTACCTATGCTGTAATGAATAGCTCCTGCTGTAGAAATAACAGTTGCTGTAAGACCTTCAGGTGCAATATCATGGCTGTGAATGACTACAGCTACCCATAACAAATGGTAACTTAATACTGTAGTAATTTCTAAGAGAAGGGCAAGCCATGGGTTGTATAGTAATGAATATCCAACTGCACTTACAGCATATGCTAAAAGAGCTGATATAAACAGATTAGAAGACCCTATTTTCTTTACCCACCATTTGCTAGTCAATAAAAATGGCAATCCATACAAACTACTTGCAGCTGGTATTAATCCTAGCAAAGACCCAGGTGCGTTTAGTTCTATGAGAAACCAATTCGTAAAGTTCTTTGTAAAATTCCATGTGGCACCAAGAACAAAAAGAACTAAAATGAAAGAAATAACATCAGCATTTTGAATCAGATAAAACGACTTTCTCCACATATTTTTTGACGGAGGTTCAATTTTGACTTTTAGTGTACAGATAATGATTAAAGATACCAGCAGCAATCCTATGTGAAAGTACAGAGCAGACGCGTAATTTTTTTCTTTTCCTGGGGCTGTACATGCGTCAACTAGGTAACCGGCAATGGAAGAAAATATTAAGATACCTAGGAGAGAAAAGAAACGTTCTCGGCCGAAATCAGAGTTATGTTCCTTTACTAAAGACATTGCAGCAACATCTAGAATACGGTAGCAGTTGGTGTAGGCGGTTAGATAAACAACAAACAGCATGACATTCGTAACCAAAAGCTTCCATCTGTATCCTTTTTCCCATTCACACATTTCATCGGATAAAAATGTGCAAACTATAGTATAGTGGTCTTTTTGTGATTCATGGCACCAAGAATAAGTTGTATTTCTATGCATTAGAGGAAGGATATGGTAAAAAGTTTCATTTTTTATTTTAGAAGTGCTATTAAAATTAAATGATACAGACAAGTTCACAAATTTTTGTTCTTCTTCTATGTTCTTACATATAGTCAAATCTCCACTGTGCAATTGTGTACCATTTTCGAGGCATATAATCTTACAAGAATTTACTTCGATAACATCCTCTCTAATTTCAGACTGAGTTCCTGCAATTAGTCTTCGAAGCGTTAGTTGATCGCAGTCCAGTGAATATGGTTCACAACTCTCAGTGCTCATTCTTGGTACCAAAATTATACTAGCGGAAGAGAGTATTGCCAAAATAATGTTGCCTATAAGAACTGGTTTAGATTTGCCTATTTTATCCGCTATTACTCCAGATAAAGTTGTTCCTATAAACTGAACTATAGGAGCTATCATGTACATTGTTGATAATTCCGATAGAGCAAGTCCACGCTGCTTAAAGTATACAGCAAGGAATGGTGCAGGAACTGCTCCAGCTGTAAATAAGAAAAATTGCTGATATAATATAATGTATATATATGTGTGTGTGTGTGTGTATTATTATTATGACATATATATAAAATATTGTATATTATTAGCAATTTACATTCGTTTGCACAATGTCCTGTAAAATAAATATTAAACTAAATTTAATTTTTTCTGTTTTACTTTTAAGTAGTTATATATCTTGTTATTCCGTTTTGTTATTGCCCCTAAAATACCATTATAATGTTAAATTTCGTGCAATTATTATTTTTAATGTTTGATACCTTCCTGCCTCTTGAATTCGAGGGAAAAAGCTTGTACAACTCGCTCTGGCGATTGATTGCCGCAGGAGAAGGGTCAGTTAGGGCTTGGACAAGGCCGAGGGTGGCTGCACGATTATCGCAGGCGTGCACTCACCGTAAGTTTTGATAGAACTACAAGATAGTATGCAGGCGTGTACTTCTCCAGTTTAATTAAGGTTAATCATATGTAAATAACTTGTAACCTAATTAATTGGATCTTATATATAAATAAATATTGTGTGAAAGAAGTTCCATTATTGGATTACGACCACGGGATGACAGAAATGTAAAGAACCAACACGAAAGCATTGTTTTTATTTTATTATTTAGTTTGAATTAGAAAGACGAGCTTTATTGAATGCAACTGTTGTTTTAACGCACATGTTTTCTTTCTTTTTTTTTTTTTTTCTTGGATAAGTCAACGCATTTCCACGACAGATTACTTCAAAAATCCTTTTAGATCGTTTTCATTTGGAGTTAAATTTTTCTAATCTGTCTGTAGGTATGAATAGATATAGGTGCGAAGGAGAAAAGTATTTTCTTATAACGAAAAACGACTCAGAAGTTACGAGATTTTTCAAGAACGAAATATAAGACATTGTTTCTCTAAGTTAATAAAGAGTTATTTTTTATTACAAAAGCTGGAACCTCTGCATATTGTTCTTTTTAAAACAGCTGCTTAATGGACACCAAGAGAGGCAAAATAGAAATATATATCTGAACCTTTTCACAGAGAACATTAATTTTTATATAATGAATCTTAACAGATTAAAAAGTATGCAATTAAGGGCACGTCTAAGAAATACCTACAGAAGCTTATAATCCATCATAAGAATAAACAGCGGCACTTATTTATTAACCGAGTTTTATTTCCATTAAAATTATGAAATTATGTTGATTTTCAGCGCTATTTCTCAACAAAAAACCAATGTAATATATAATTTCTTTACAGTCAATTAAGCTCGCGTTTTGATTTCTTATCATTTATATTGCCAATTAATCTGTAAGGATCTTAAGTTTTACTAAGTTTATTTTATTTTAAATCTTTACTATCACTTCTTATTTTCTACTTCCGGCCAGAATTAAAAGCGTTAACTTATTTATGCAAAATTTGTCTGGCGAACGCCAAGTACTTAAGTTGTGGCTTTTTGCCAAGCGAGAGAGAGGAAGGAGTTAGTCGAAGCAGGCCGCTTACCTTAGAAGTTTTACTCAGTTGCTGGTTGCCTTCCAGGCCAGAGGTTTAATCCTCGTTGATAATTTTAAACGTATTGTAGTGTTAACAGTTCTCTGTACTACATACGGCTTCCTGTTAATATAAGGCCAATCTTCCACTTGTTTATTATTCCAAAGTTAAGTTAGAGTTTATTTAAATATTTTTATATTCTTACGTTCAGACCACAAGTAGTTGGTCTTTGTATTCCGAAGTACGGAAATTATTGTAAAGAGTGAAAAAATAAAGGGTTTTGTATACCCTTCCTGTGTATCCTGTCTACTTCCCACATTTATTGAACATAGCTTTAGTAAGCTCCCTGTTCCGAGTCAGGTCTGTGCATGTTCCCAAAGAAAGTAAGACGGAACATTGAACCTGATAGTGGCGCCCAACGAAGAAGAATAACCATGGCCGAGTTTCAAGAAGAACCTGTGCTGCCTGCAGAAGCGGCTCAGAATCCAGAAATGCCAGCTGCCGCCCTGGAAGGATTTGGTTACATCGTCCAGACCATGCGCGCTTCGATGAAACCAGAAGCAACATTTAATGGAAACTCACCGGTAACCAGTTTTTTGGAAAAATTGGATGACCACTTCATGCTCTATCCCCGTGCACGAGTTTCAAAAGTTACCTTAGCTACCAGCGCTTTGAGGGGCCAAGCGCTTAACTTGGTTCAAATGTATAGGCAGAAGTCTCTTGGGTCAAGCAGGAAGTCCCACCTATACTTACGAAAATTTCAAGACTGCCCTAGTAAAAGCCTTCCCTGTCGTAAGGGATCGTGCGAAATTAGAAACGGAACTTTTCAGCATATATCAGCAAAGAATCGAAAATCTCTCAAGCTTTATTTTAAGAAAAATTCACGTCTTCAAACTCTTGTATGGAAACCGTCCGGATCCTGAGATAATTCAAGTGATTTTGCCGAGGTTACTTCCCCAAGTGCAAGACTTTATTGAATTAAGAATCCGACTACACTGGAAAAGTTATTTGAGCTAGCAATCCAGTTTGAAAGTAGAAGAACGGCGGACATTGAAAGAAGACGCCAATATCAACAACGAAACCAATTTGGTGCGCCAAGACCACAGCAAAGTCAAGCACACGGCTACGGAAGCAAAGCGAATCAGTGGGCAAGGAAACCCGAGCATTCAAAAACAGCCGGCGAACGTCGACAGTTCAATAGCAATCCAGGAAAAAAAGTCTCAAGGCCAGTGGAAAAAGAAGGAAAGCATGGAAATCAAAAAAGGATTTAAACTAAAACGGATTTCTGCTGACGGGAGGGTGCGGAAATCCGAAGGCCACGAAAACCCCTCTTCCTTCAAGTTAAATACAGTAATGGTGAAAAATTTGACTCTTCCGAAGATTGAAGTGTTGGTGAATAATATCCCAGCCACCGCACTCCTGGATACAGGCGCGCAGTGTTCCTGTGTGGCAGAAGATTTTTTTAGGAAGTATTTTCGTAAATACCGCATATATAATTCGGATAATACGACAGTGTTAGCGGCGCAAGGAGAAAAATGTAAGTGCGTAGGTAAAGTACCTTTGTATATCCGTATCAAGGACGAACAAGTAAAGGTTATGTTTTTTATAGTAAAGAATCTGCAAGCACATATTAATTTTAGGAATAGATTTTCTTTCAGAGGCACAAGCAACGCTGGATTTTAATGAAGCGTCCCTTAAGCTGACGATGAAACCAGTTCGAGAAGAAAAGGCTGAACCGCCGATGTTAAACCTTGACCACCTGCCTAATGAAGAGCAACGAAGAATCCGACAAGTGGTAAGTGAATTTGCTTCGTTATTTAGTGATATTCCAGGATTTACTCAGGTTACTAACCATAGTATTGACACCGGAGATTCAATGCCAGTTCGCCACAAAGCATACCGGTATGATAAGAATAAGGAAAAAATTATAGAATGGCATATCACCGATATGCTACGTAAAAAGATCATAACGCCCATCTCAAGTAGTTATGCTAGCCCGGTGGTTTTATGTAAGAAAAATAATGACTATCCATTGACACATCCAAAAAGGTGGAGATTCGCGATTGACTACCGTAAATTAAACTCCATAACTAAATATCCGGTATATCCGTTACCTATTATTGAAGAAATTCTAAGGAACATAACATCCACCAAATATATGACGACTTTAGACTTAACGACTGGTTATTTTCAAATAGGGGTTAGGCCTGAGGACGTGCCTAAGACTGCTTTTATAACCAAGTCTGGCACTTATGCATTCCTGCGTATGCCGTTTGGCCTTTCAGGGGCACCGGCAACATTTCAGCGATGTATGGACATTGTGTTAAGGCCTGTTCTTGGAAAGTCCACATTTATCTATTTAGACGATATCATTATTACTAGTGATAATCTCGGACCAACATGTACAGGATTTAAGACAGGTGTTTTCTTTATTAAATGAGGCCGGTCTAAAAGTTAATGTCGAAAAGTGCAAATTTGCAGCCCCTGAATTAAAATATTTAGGTTACAAAATATCTCAGAAAGGAATCGAGACAGACGAATCAAAAATAATCGCTGTACAAAAGTATCCGACTCCAAACACGGCGAAGAAGCTCTCTTCTTTTCTAGGACTTTGTTCATATTATAGGTCCTTTATAAAAGATTTTGCAGCTATTGCTGAACCATTGTTAAAATTAAAAAGGAAAAAGGCAAGATTCTCGTGGACGGCCGAAGCCAATAGTGCTTTCGAAAAATTAAAGCAAGCATTAACGCAAGCCCCTGTGTTGAAATTTCCTGAAAAGGATGAGAATTTAGAAATTTCAGCGGATGCTTCGGATTATGCGGTAGGAGCGGTACTTTCGCAAAATCAGCAGCCCGTGGCATTTTTTAGCCGAACTTTAAATCAAACACAAAGAAACTTTTCCGCGACCGAGAGAGAGGCACTTGCAGTTCTGTTAGCAGTGCAAAAGTTCCGAGTCTATTTTGGAAAGGCGCCAATAACAGTGTATTCTGATCATGCGGCGGTAACTAGATTGTACTCAGGGAAAAACTTATCCCCAAGGTTAATAAGATGGGCACTCAAGCTACAAGAATATAATCTGGTAATCAAGCATACCCCCGGAAAGGAAAATATCGTAGCAGATGCCCTATCCAGAATTAAAATAGATGAAGAAGGTAATACTGTAAAGGTGGCAATGCTCACAGCATGTACAATAAATTCCCGAGAAACTGTAATAACCGAACTGGGTAAGGATCCTGAGTTTGGAAGCATTTATGAGTATTTAAAGGATCCTGAAAATTTTAGCCACCAAGATATTGTGGCGATAAGAAATAGGGCGGCCCATTACGAACTAATAGATGGTCTATTATTTTATACAAAAACTACGAATTCCAACAACGAATTTCGACCTGTTATCCCAGCTAGTCTTAGATTAAATATCCTGCAGGAGCTCCATGACAGCCCTTTAGCTTCTCATGCTGGTATTCGAAAAACTATCCAACGCGTACGCGAGGCAGTCTATTTTCCTGAACTGCAAAAGTTAACAAG